AGACACAGATGGGCCATGTTCTCTGCAGCACAGATGGAACCTTTGCTGCGTGAATTTTGTTTTGTGACGTGAACGAACACAGTCACCACCTTTGATTTCCTGAGCCAGTTTGATGCAGGTTTTCTGTAAAACAGAGCAAATGCATCTAGTTGTTGTAGTGAACATGTCACAGCCCTCTCGGCAGAGAAGCCTCAGTGGCATCTCGTGACTCCTTGCTCTTCACATAAAACCCAAGCCCTTCACCCGACCCCCGAGGCGCTGGCTGGTCTGGCCCTGTCTCCTGCAGCCCCCTGCGGCCTGGCCTCCCCTGCACAGGCCCCGTCTCAGGCCCCTGTCCTGCCCCGTCAGCAGGACACCGTCACACTCGGTTCTTCGTCTGGGAGAAGACGTCACCGTCACGCCCCACCCCCCACTTACTTGTCTGGCTCCAGGGAGGAGGGCAAAGTCCGATTCCTGTCACGTGCTTTCACAGACTCGGGGTCCTTTCCTTCAGAACACTTTCCACAGTTGCTAAGTCATCCTTGTTCAGGGTGGTTATTTGATTGTCTGCCCCCAGCTCCAGCCGGCAAAGCGGAGGGGGGGGGTGACAAGGTTCTCTGTTTCTGCTCACAACTGTCTCCCTAGCACCTACCATAGTGGCACGTATTTGGTGCTGAAAAACGTCTCCTGGGTGGATGGATGGACAGACCAGCGATGGATGGATGAACGGTCAACTAACTCTGGAGGCAGGAGTTGGAGACAAGTGCAGTGAGAAGTTTCTGGCTTGCGTTTCCCAGTGGAGATGGTGCCTTGAACTGAGATCAGGAGGGAAAGCAAGGCGAGAAGGCGGCGTTACTGCTTAATAGTGTTACTACGTCAGTAGCGGGGGTGGGGGGACACCCCGTGAAGAGGAAGGTTGGTTCCCTCCCTCACTTGGGAACATGCTGTTTTATCCCTCACTGTCAGGGAAGAAACACTCAGACAACTTCAACCAGCCATCGTCTTTGTCCCACAAGAGCCACGTCTCCCTCAGTCCACTTCCTGGTCCCCTGAGCCCCGGCCCTGCGTCCTGCCCCTGCTGCGGGCCGCCCCAGCCCCGCACTCAGTCCTGCCCAGCACTGAGGCTCCTGTCTTACCCACATGTTCACCAAATGAATCTCAAAAAACAGTGTTTTTCGACCAAGAGGAAAAGGACAAACTGCAAATCTGGGCGTTGATAAAGTTGAGGAGAACCCCACAGAGCTGGAGGTGGGATGTAGCGCAGCGTTAAGGTGGAATTTGAAATTAAAACACCAAGATTAAATTATGGTCTCTGGCTTACCCTGTAACCTTAAGTTACTTTTGATTTCCCTTGGCTGTATCTTTGCAATCTATTATTTCTGATTATTCAAAAACAGGTGCTTGCAAAGACATTACTTCACGTATTCTGTACAAAAGAAACATCGTTTGTTTTATGTGAACGTTCCCATTCTACTAATACTGAGCTTTTTCCGGTGGGATTTTCATCTTGTTTATGATTGCTTTTTAAAATACGGAACATGTGTAAAATATTGGCCGCTGCACCATTATGCTTAAAGACAGTTCACACTCATGCTCTCCGGTCGCAGGCCGAGAGGGTAGGGGTCTCGGACCCATCACAAGACGAGCGCGCGTGGGAAAGCAGGGCGCAGCGCTCCCGGATACCCCAGTTCCTAGGTTAACTGTGTCAGCACCGCTGCGCTGGATCGCGAAGCCTGGGCCCCGGTTCATCTCGGTAAGCTCCCCTTGGCGCCAGGCGTTGAAACCGAGGGAATCAAGCCCCCGTGACGAGACCGCGTGGCGGGAGGCGGGCGGCTCCGCGAGGCGCCTGCGGGG